CTTTCTCCCCTCCCCCCCATTTCCCGTCGCCCGTCGCGGCTCCTTCGGGGGCCGCGCGCTGTGGGGTGGCAGGTATGGGGGTGGCCAGTGTACTTTCCTCCCTTTGCTCCTCCTCCTCCTTCGTCTCCCACTGCTGCAGCTGTCGCTGAGGGGGGTGGTTGTGTGGGAGACAGGGGTTTAGGGTTTTAGGGGGGTGCGTGGGAGTAGAGCTAGCAGTGTAGCAGTGGGTGTGTATCAGGGGGGTGGGACTGTTTGCGAGAGGTTGAGCGGAGGCTGCCGGCTTGTCGTCCGCAGCACCTGTAGTCCGGGGCGCTGTCCCGGTAGCCCAGTCGTAGCCAGCTGTGCCAGCCGCCCGTGGGTCCGTTGCCCGTCCGCCGCTATTTGAGCCGCGGGGCCTGTTACTCCTGTAGTCCGGGCGCTGTCCGGTAGCCGCTGTGCCAGTCTGCCTCCTGTTGCCCGTGTGTCTGCAGCTTCAGCCGTCGCCTCCTGTCTCCTCTCCCCTCACTCTCCCTCCTCCTCCTCACTTGCCCGTTGTGACTACCACTAGCTTTGCTTATAATTGTGAACTCTAAACTATTTCTTCTTGAACTTGTGCTCAGAATGTGTGGTGACATTGTGATCCACCCTGAGCTTGTTTTGCTTTGCCTGCTCTGCTGATTACACCCCACTTTGGCTATGGGGGTGTGTCAGAATATTATCTTATTGTTCTAGCCTGTAGTGGGGTGCTCTATAGCGAGTACAACCCTTCTAGGGTTTGCTATTTGTATCCTCATTCTTGCTAGTTCAATCCTCTTTCTTCCTTCTAATTTTGTCAGAGGGTACACTAAGCAAGCCCCAAATTTATGAATGTGCTACACTTCTAGCCTATGTATGTTGTATGGAATATGAAATTACAACACAACCCCCCAACATGCATAAGGCTAGAAGGCTAGAATCAAGAGGCGGGAGGCGACTTAGGAGGAGTGAGGCCAAGAAGACGAAGTAGGAGAGAGTGAGCGGCATGAGGAAGAGCTTTTGTGAAGATGTCAGCAAGGTTGGCCGCCGAGTCAACCTTGTCGAGGCGAAGGTGCCCCACCTGAACAAGATCGCGAATGAAGAAATGACGGAGCTCAATGTGCATGGAGCGCCCGTGAAACACAACATCTTTGGTGAGGTGAATGGTACTAGCATTGTCACACCAAATTGTGGGACAGCGCTGGGGGGCACCAAGTTCCTCAAGAAGGAAGGTGAGCCAGCGGGCCTCTTGCGCAGCCATGGTGGCGGCATACAATTCCGCCTCGCAGGAGGAGAGGGCTACAACCGAGGAGCGGGTGGAGCGCCAGCTGATAAGGCCGCTGCCAAGAGAGAAGCCATAGCCCTAGGAGGAGCGACGATCTGGCCGGGAATCAGCCCAGGAGGAGTCACTCTAGCCGCTGAGGAGAGGTGGGGAGGGGCCGCCAAGGGTAAGGACATAGTCCTTGGTGCCACGAAGGTACCGGAGGACACGCTTGGCGGCCTGCCAGTGCTCTTCCGTATGCTTGCCTGCGCCAACAAAACGAGCGAGGACGCTGATGGGGTAGGCAAGGTCAGGGCGAGTGGAGACCATGGCGTACATGAGGGAGCCGATGAGCTCGGGATGAGGATGGGAGGAGGCTGAGGGGGAGTTGGGTGGAGAGAGGTGGTGCCCGACAGAAAGAGGAGTAGGTTGGGCGCCACCGCGGACCATGTCAAACCGCTCCAAGACCTGTTGCAAGTAATGACCCTGGGAGAGAGAGATGGTGCGGGCGGAGCGGTCACGGGTGATGGTCATGCCCAGGTAATGCTGCAGCTTGCCCAAGTCCTTGCATTTGAGATGACTGCCCAACTCAGCCTTGACACGCTCCAATTTGGCAAGGTCGGCAGTGAGCAGAATCATGTCATCGACATACACAAGGATGTAGAACGGGGAGGGGCAGGTGCGGAGGAAGAGGCTGGCGTCAGAGCGGGAGGTGCGGAACCCAAGTTCAGCAAGGGTGGGGGCAAGTTTAGCATGCCACTCCCTCGGGGCCTGTCGAAGCCCATACTCAGGGCAACGCAGCTGCCAGACAGAGTTTGCAGGGAAGGGAAGGTGAAAACTGGCTGGACGCTCCATGTAGATAAGCTCGCGGAGGACGCCTTGGAGGAAAGCGTTAGAGACGTCCATCGAGTGGATCTCCATATTGAGGCGAGCGGCGAGATCGAGCACGGCGCGAACAGTAGCAGGCTTGGCAGTAGGAGAGAAGGTATCGAAGAAGTCAAAACCATACTGCTACGTGAACCCCTTGGCACAGTAACAAGCCTTATAGACGGGCGGCTCCCCTGGCAGCTGTTTGACGCGAAACACCCACTTCCCTTTCACCACGTTCGTAGAGGAGGGAGGGCGAGGCACATCAACGAAGGAGGAGTTGGCGACAAAGGCCTCCAGCTCCTTGATAATGGCGGCGAGCCAGAGTGGGGCGTCGGGGCAAGCCATGGCCTCCTCATACGTGGTAGGGATGAAAACGGAGGGAGCAGAGGAGAATGCGAATACTGGTGTCTCAGAAAGGTCGAAGGTGATGGGGTAGAAGGGAAGGGTCACAGAGGTGGAGGTCAAGGAACTCCTCATGTGAGTCCTCGGAGAGGGAGGTGTGGAAGGAGCGGATGACCGTTGGTGTCGCTGCACGTGCCGCTGTTGGTGCTGCTGCTGGTGCCGCTGCTGGTGCCGCTGCTGGTGCCGCTGCTAGTGCCGCTGCTGGTGCCGCTGTTGGTGCCACTGCTGGTGCTGCTGCTGGTGCCACTGTTGGTGCCGCTGCTGGTGCCGCTGCTGGTGCCGCTGCTGGTGCCGCTGCTGGTCCCGCTGCTGGTCCCGCTGCTGGTGCCGCTGCTGGTCCTGCTGCAGGTGTCGCTGCTGGTCCTGCTGCTGGTGCCGCTGCGGGTGCCGTTGCGGACGCTGCTGCTGGCGCCGCTGCTGGAGAGGTGGCAGAGGGGGCTGCTGCAGGAGGAGGTTGATGCAGAACAGCCTGGAAGAAGTGGTGAAGGAGAGGGGAGAGTGGGGGGAGGGTAGAGGTAGAGAGGGTAACAGGGGGCGGTGCACCAAGGATACTGTCACGTGACCTGGTATGGGGGTACCGGGTAAGTACGGTGCGGGGAGGGGGGGAAGGACGAGTCGGCGGCAAGGGAGGTGAAGGAGGGGCAGGAGGGGCACTAGGAGAGGAATGTGTGGGGGAGACGGGAGAGGACAGAGGTTCCGGGTCAAATATATCACCAGACGAGGGAGGGGCACCGTGGGATGGGGACGACGGTGGGGGGAGGGGGAGGGAGGATGGGGGGAGGAGGAAGTAGTGGGGGAGGGGTGGTGTCAGACCAAACAAGGGGACGGGGAAGACGGGGGAGTGGGTCAGTGGATGGGGGAGAGGAGTAGTAGGGAGTGGACTCATCAAAGATCACATCCCTACTGCGGAATAGACGAACTGAGGGGGGATGGAGGAAAAGGTAGTCAGGTGAGGAGGAGTTATGACCAAGAAAGATGCAGGGAAGGGTACGAGGGGCAAGCTTTCCCATAGAGCGGGAGCGGTCAGTGGGGTGAAGGACAACATAAGCCTTTGAGCCCCGGACACGAAGAGACGAGACATCAGGTTTGTTGTTCGTCCACAGCTCAGTGGGGGTGGTGGATGGGAGAAGAGGGTGAGGGTAAAGGTTAGTAAGGAGGGCAGCATGAAGGAGGGCGTAGCCCCACAGAGAAGGAGGGCAAGAGGCGTGGACAAGAAGACACCGGGCAGTTTTGGTGATCTCTCGAACACGACTTTCAGCCACACCGTTCTGCTGTGGGGAGTGAGGGAGGGTGTAAGTCTGAAGAATGCCATGAGACTGACAATAGGAGGATATTTGGTTGTTAAGGAACTCACCACCACCATCAGAGTGAAGGCGGCGAACAGGGCGCCCAAAATGGGTATTTGCCCGCTCGAGCCAGGCGATGATCCCAGTCGGGGCATCTGCCTTCGTCCGAAGGAGAGAGACGGACGAGTACCGACTGTGATCATCGACGAGTACGAGGAGGTATCGATGGCCCTGGCGAGTGGGAGAGGGATTGGGGCCCCAGAGGTCCATATGAACAAGATCAAGTGGCTGAGCAGCAGCGGAGGGGGAGCTCCGGTGCGGCTGCTGCTTGAGCTTGCTCTGAACGCAGACGGTGCAAGGGGGGGGGCAGGGGATTTGGGGAGGGGAGGGAGGGAGGAGGGGAGACCGTGGAGGAGACCGGTGGAAACAGAGGAGCGTAGAGTAGCGAAATTAGGGTGACCTAGCTTGTGATGGAGGAGGACGGCAGGGCGGGAGAGGGAGCGACAGGAGCAGGAGGAGTCAAGGGGAGGGCGGGAAGGGAGGTCCGGGTTAGTGGGAGGGAGAGGAGGAGGTGGGATGAGAGGGTATGTGGAGATTAGCGCGAAGAGAGGGTATGTGGAGACCGGTGACAGTGCCTGAGGGGAAGAGTGGGCAGGGGAGAGTCGAGGTGTTATGGCAGGGGATAGAGAAGCTGCTGTCGGCGCCAAGGAGGGAGGTAGGCGTTGGGAGGGGGTGCAAGGTGCCAGCATCGCGAAGAATAGTGTCAGTGGCGCCGCTGTCGAGGAAAAAATCGACAGTGGAGGAGAGGGAGGAGGAAGGGACAGAGGACTGGAACGCAGTGTCGTTAGTGGTAGAGGAGTATGTGGCAGGTGCAGTTGATGTGGCTTGATTGACCATACCAGCGATACCAACGGATGAGAAAGGTGAGTCGATGCTTGAAGTGGCGGAGCTTGTGGAACAATGTGGACCTGAGTTCTGCTGGGAAGTTGGGGGAGGAGGAGGAAGAGGCAGCTGCGGTTGTAGGTCAAGGTGCTGCTGCAGGCGGTGAAGCAACTGCTGGAGCTGGAGGAGGAGGTGCCAGAGCTGCTGCTGGTGCTGCTGTTGCTGCGGTTGTTGCTGCTGCTGTTGCTGCTGCTGCTGCTGGTGCTGCTGCTGCTGCTGCTACTCTGCTGCTGCTGCTGCTGCTGCTATTGCTGCGGAGGAGGAGGAGGAGGAGGAGGAGGAGGAGGAGGAGGAGGAGGAGGAGGAGGAGGAGGAGGAGGAGAAGGAGGAGGAGGAGGAGGAGGAGGAGGAGGAGGAGGAGGAGGAGGAGGAGGTAGAGAGAAGGGTTGACTCGGGGCATGGTGGGCTTGGGTGGAGAGTTTACACTGAAGTCCCCGAGTCGGGCCATAGCGAGGCACATATTCACGAGGAGAGAAGGCTGCTGCTGCGCCGCAGCCTGCGCTCAAACCCCTGACACCACAATATCCTGCGAGTCTCCCTTGACCATCACCACAGCTGCCACTATGCCCTCCTTCATGCCCACCGGTACCACTGCTGATGCATGCCAGTGCGACTGTTGCCATGGGGGAAGCAATGTGGGGTGTGGGCGGTCACGGCATGGCACAGGCGAGAAGGGCATGAAGGTGTGCGCAGGCAGCTGACGGTATGCGCAGGCAGCTGACGGTATGCGTAGGCAGCTGACGGTATGCGCAGGCGGGTGTGCTGTATGTGCTCCCAGGTGTGCGGTATGTACTGACAGGTGTGCGGTATGTGCTGACAGGTGTGCGGTATGTGTTGTCAGGTGTGCGGTATGTGGTGTCAGGTGTGCGGTATGTGCTGCCAGGTGTGCGGCATGTGCTGTCAGGTGTGCGGTATGTGCTGTCAGATGTGCTGTATGCGCGTGCAGATGTGCTGTATGCTAGGGAGGTGCGGACAAGGGGAGGGGGACAGCGAGCGAGGAAGGAGGGCGTGCAACGAGTGCGCGGACGGGGAGAGCGTGGACGACCGGAGCGCGGACGAGCAGGGCGTGCAGACGAACAGGGCGCGCGGACGGCCAGGGTGCGGCTGACTAGGGCGCGCGGACGGCCAGGGTGCGGATGACTACGGCGCGCGGACGGGCAGGGCGCGGACGAGCAAGGCGTGCGGACGGGCAGGGCGGGGACGCGAAGGGCGGACGAGTAGAGCGCGCGGACGGGCAGGGCGCGGACGACCAGGGCGCGCGGTCGGACTAGCAAGGGCGTGCGAGTTGTAGATCTGAGCACGCGGAATGCAGATTTGGGCGCAGGAGAGTAGATCTGAGTGCGGAATGTGCAGATCTGAGTGCGAAATGCGCAGATCTGAGGGCAAGAGGAGTAGAGCAGGGCGCGGGAGGAGTAGATCTGAGCTCGGGAGGAGGAGATGTGAGCTCGGGAGGAGTAGATCTGAGTTCGGGAGGAGTAGATCTGAGCTGGGGAGGAGTAGATCTGAGCTCGGGAGGAGTAGATCTGAGCTCGGGAGGAGTAGATCTGAGCTGGGGAGGAGTAGATCTGAGCTCGGGAGGAGTAGATCTGAGCTCGGGAGGAGTAGATCTGAGCTGGGGAGGAGTAGATCTGAGCTCGGGAGGGGTAGATCTGAGCTCGGGAGGAGTAGATCTGAGCTCGGGAGGAGTAGATATGAGCTCGGGAGGAGTAGATCTGAGCTCGGGAGGAGTAGATCTGAGCTGGGGAGGAGTAGATCTGAGCTCGGGAGGAGTAGATCTGAGCTCGGGAGGAGTAGATCTGAGCTGGGGAGGGGTAGATCTGAGCTGGAGAGGAGATCTGAGCTCTGGAGGAGGAGATGTGAGCTCGGGAGGAGTAGATCTGAGCTGGGGAGAAGTAGATCTGAGCTCGAGAGGAGTAGATCCGAGCTCGGGAGGAGTAGATCTGAGCTCGGGAGGAGTAGATCTGAGCTGGGGAGGAGTAGATCTGAGCTGGGGAGGAGTAGATCTGAGCTGGGGAGGAGTAGATCTGAGCTGGGGAGGAGTAGATCTGAGCTGGGGAGGAGTAGATCTGAGCTGGGGAGGAGTAGATCTGAGCTGAGGAGGAGTAGATCGGAGCTCGGGAGGAGGAGATGTGAGCTCGGGAGGAGTAGATCTGAGCTCGGGAGGAGAAGATCTGAGCTCGGGAGGAGAAGATCGGAGCTCGAGAGGGGTAGATCTGAGCTTGGGAGCACCGTAGTAGGACTACGTCTGAGGGACGGGGAGGAGAGGGTGGCATAAGGACCGAGGGATCAAGGCATGAGCCAATAGCTCATGATACCATGTTAGAAAGCTAGAATTGATACATTGAATAATGAGCCAAGAGGCTCTTTAGTACAAACAATGAGCAAGAGAGAGATGAGAGGAAAGCTTACCCTATTGGCCAATAAGTTGGCCAATGGGTGAGCTTGCTTGTGACCCAAGCAACCACAAATCTGTCTTGGTTGGGATTGGTTGAGCTAAGGACCAATCCCAACCAACCACAAAATGTGGTTGGAGGGTACACTAAGCAACCCCCCAATTTATGAATGTGCTACACTTCTAGCCTATGTATGTTGTATGAAATATGAAATTACCACAGAGGAGTGAAGCCGGAGGAGGGGAGGGTGGATCAGCTAGAAGTTGGGCCGTTGTTTTTGTCATCTCCCTCTTGCCATTCTCCCCATCTGGTGTTCTCGATATTTCCCAACGCTCATCTTCAACCATCTTACCACTGCATGAGCTGCCTTAGGAAACTCTGAATAATTCCCTCTTTCATTCACCCTCTGTTGGTTTTGCCATTGTCATTTCCCCCTTTTCTAGTACTCTCATTGCCAATGTTGTTATATTACTTCATTCTTCCAATTGTCAGTCTTTTTTTTACGATTTCCCTTCAGTCATATTCCTCTCAATCAGCCCCCAATAAGGTTCCCCACTATGCTTCGTTTGCACTATTACTTCTTCTGGTCCACCCTTTTCCCGACTGCATGTTGCCTGTCCCAGGGAAACGTAATTCTTCCCTCCTTTCTTCTTCCCTTAGCAATCTCAACATCTCACTTGTTTCCTCTGCCATGCATTCTGCTGGCATGTCAAAGCATGATAGCTGCCTGCACATGCCCGCTTGCTCAAATGTGCATGATGTGCCTGCCTACTCATTCCATTTGACCCTAGTCATTTTTCCACTGTCATATGGCTCTTCCAATCCCACCTATCCTCCTGATAACGTTTGGATTATCCCATCCTCATAACCCCATCCGTTGACCCCGTTCAGTGTCCCTCTTATGAGTCAACTACATCAACATGTGCCATTTTTCTGTTCACTTCTGCTTCGCCAACAGTTTAGCCATTTTCAAGTTAGTTTCCTCAATGCCTTCTTTCTTTTTGTTCTGCTTCATCTTCCCACTACCATTGTTCATTCACTTGTATTGTCGTTTGCTACATCTTTTCGTACTGCATTTGTCCTGACATCTTCACCTGTCAAGTCGAATTCGCATTGCCGTTCGACTTGCCGAATTCCCATTGCCAGTTCAATCTCGGTTCATACTGTCCAATCACCTTTCCATTGTCAGTTTCCTGCTACCTTTCCCCATTGTCGATTGTCGTTGATTTCTCAACATCATTTCCACCCGGATTCCCACTCCCGGTTGCCGTGGAATTGCTCATTGCTGGTTGACCTGTCAACTTCACTTATCTGTTTCACCAGGTCATTACCCATTGCCATCCGCCCATTGCCATCCGCCCATTGCTATCCTCCCATTGCTATCCTCCCATTACTATCCCACCCATTGCCGCCCTCCCATACCAGGTTCTTCCTTTGCCATCCCCTCCTCCGGCCCTTGCTGCCTCATGCATGGCCCGCACAGCCTTGCCCATTCACCTGCCCATCATCCACCACCCATCTCTCCTCCCCCATGCATTCCAGTGCATGCTTGCAATGCACACATGCCACCATTGGGGATCCACTCCCACACCCTCTCAGCCAGCCACGCCTGCAATGGGCCATCCCTGGCCCCTCCATCCACCTCGCCCATCCCCTCCGCATGCCCACCCATAATGTGCTCACCGTGCCTTCCCATCCCATGTTCTCACTCGTTCTGAGCGCACCAAGCATGGCACTTCCTCCCTTTATCAACTTCCACAATTTATTTCCCGTCGCTTGTTATTCCCCGCTGTCACATTCGCATTGCTAGTACTCCACTGCCCTCGTCCTACATGTCATGGTCCTATTGCCATGTTCGTATTGTTTTTAACCATTATCTCATTGACATCATCCCACTCTCATGTTCTCATTATCATCCTCCCATCCATCATCATTCTTCCACTGAGTACATGCCTCATGCCTTTTTACCACTGTCACTTACCCACTTCGTACTCTCTTCCTTTTCCTCTTTCACCCCATGTCACTTGTCCCACAAAGTTTCCTAATCTCAATCCCCTGTTGTCATGTCAAGTTTCCCCTCAAATCCTTTGATCACAACAGCACGTGAATTTTCCCCTTCTCATCAATCTTCATCATTGGCCTTTCTAAGTTCAAAGACACGGGCATGCACACCGCGCTATGATTAGAATAAATCCTGTCACCTCCAATTCTAGAGCATATACACATGGATAGAGTCCAAGCAAGTGGGTGGTGTGGTGCAGCATCTCTAAAGCCACAACAGAAGTGGAATCGAACATGAGCCACTATCGAGCTTGGCGCTCTGTATGTGAATGCATGCAATGTGACATCATGAATATTGATTCGTCGAGCAACAATACGACTATTAGAGCACTAACTACAATTGCAAGGGGGAAAATGTGGCATCGTAAACAGAGACCGGGTATTCGCGGGTACGCGGAACCGTGCAGTTGAACTTGAAGGAACCCCCCGGTGGGATGATCATAGCACCATCAGGTGCACCCAATGGAGGGAGTACCTGCGATTGGTAATCAGAGCAATCAGTTTAGAATCAAAATGGGAGCAGTCACAACAACGCAGCAGGAGGAACATACTATAATTAACCCAAGGATGAATCAAGCCCTCAAAGTAAGGAGTGAAAAAACAGAGGACTGAGGGAGATCAGGAGAGAATTGCAGTAATCAGGAGGATGAGTGAGTGAGGGAGAGTAGGAGCGAGGGTCCGAGGAAGGGCAGACCTTGAAGAAAATTATGGCTTGGAGAGTGTCGCGTTGTGTGGGCAGGAGGCGCGGCATGAGCATGTAGGAGCGCAGTCCCACACTCTGAATGCTGATGCTCATTGCAGCAATGGCACGCTGCCCACACGTGTTGCTCAGCGTGACCTGCAGAAGGAAGGTCGAGGCCGGAGGAGGGGGAGAGGTAGGGAGGAGGGAGAAGGGGGCGCGTGAGAAGGTGTGGAGGGATGAGAAAGCACACGTGAGGGGACCAAGCAAAAGAGAGAGGGAGAGAGATAGAGAGAGAGAGAGAGAGAGAGAGAGAGAGAGAGAGAGAGAGAGAGAGGGAGAGAGATAGAGAGAGAGAGAGAGAGGGAGAGAGATAGAGAGAGAGAGAGAGAGATAGAGAAAGAGGGAGGGGGGGGGGAGGGAGGGAGGGAGGGAGGGAGGGAGGGAGGGAGGGAGAGAGAGAGAGAGAGATTGAGAGAGAGAGAGAGAGAGAGAGAGAGAGAGAGAGAGAGAGGCATAGTCCCTTAGCCCCAAGCCTCTCAGCCTCTCAGCCCCCCACACGCCTAGTATATACGGCCTTTGGGCCTGGTGTGTTCCTCATTATTCAGCTGCGGGTCCATTCCTTCTAACCCAGCGGCTCGCGCCGGCCGCCGAAGGCGGTCGATGCTCGATAGCGCGGCCTTCGGCCGCGCATGAGGGGACGGTGTCAGAATATTATATTATTGTTCTAGCCTGTAGTGGGGTGCTCTATAGCGAGTACAACCCTTCTAGGGTTTGCTATTTGTATCCTCATTCTTGCTAGTTCAATCCTCTTTCTTCCTTCTAATTTTAACATGCTATCAGAGCAGGTCGATCCCCTTGGATCGATCCTGTGGGTGTGTCCCCACCGTGCTTCCGCTGCTACTTTTTCCTCCCGCCGTGCGCCCCGAGGCGCGCGGCGGTTTTCTGCCCGCCGTGCGCCCCGAGGCGCGCGGCGGTTCATTGCCCGCTGTGCGCCCCGTGGCGCGCGGCGGGCTTCTCCTTTACGTCGCGGCCCCGCCCCGGCCCGTCGCCGCCCGTGCGCCCGCTCGACGCGGCCCCGCTCTACGTCGCGGCCCCGCCCCGGCCCGTCGCCGCCCGTGCGCCTGCCCGTGCTCGGCCCCGCCCTTCGTCGCGGACCCGCCCCGGCCCGTCGCCGCCCGTGCGCTTGCCCGGCTCGACCCGCCCTACCTGCTCGGCCCCGCCCTTCGTCGCGGACCCGCCCCGGCCCGTCGCCGCCCGTGCGCCTGCCCGGCTCGACCCGCCCTACCTGTGCGGCCCCGCCCTACGTCGCGGCCCCGCCCCGACCGTCGCGGCCCCGCCTCTTGTCGCGGCCCCGCCCTATGTCGCGGCCCCGCCCCTCGAAGCGGCCCCGCCCTACGTCGCGGCCCCGCCCCGCTCGTCGCGGCCCCGCCCCTTGTCGCGGCCCCGCCCTCCCCTCAGGTCCGTGGTGGCCCCCCCCCCCCCCCCCCTGCCATTTCCCGTCGTCCGTCGTGGCGACCTGAGGGGTGGCGGGTATGGGGGTGGCCGGTGTGCCTTCCTCCCTTTCTCCTCCTCCTCCTTCGTCTCCCACTGCTGCAGCTGTCGCTGAGGGGGGTGGTTGTGTGGGAGACTGGGTTTAGGGTTTAAGGGGGGTGCGTGGGAGTAGAGCTAGTGGTGTAGCAGTGGGTGTGTATCAGGGGGGTGGGACTGTGTGTGGGAGGATGAGCGGAGGTTGCCAGTTTGTCGTCAGCAGCACCTGTAGTCCGGGGCGCTGTCCCGGTAGCCCAGTCGTAGCCAGCTGTGCCAGCCGCCCGTGGGTCCGTTGCCCGTCCGCCGCTATTTGAGCCGCGGGGCCTGTTACTCCTGTAGTCCGGGCGCTGTCCGGTAGCCGCTGTGCCAGTCTGCCTCCTGTTGCCCGTGTGTCTGCAGCTTCAGCCGTCGCCTCCTGTCTCCTCTCCCCTCACTCTCCCTCCTCCTCCTCACTTGCCCGTTGTGACTACCACTAGCTTTGCTTATAATTGTGAACTCTAAACTATTTCTTCTTGACCTTGTGCTCAGAATGCGTGGTGACATTGTGATCCACCCTGAGCTTGTACTGTTTTGCCTGCTCTGCTGATTACACCCCACTTTGGCTATGGGGGTGTGTCAGAATATTATATTATTGTTCTAGCCTGTAGTGGGGTGCTCTATAGCGAGTACAACCCTTCTAGGGTTTGCTATTTGTATCCTCATTCTTGCTAGTTCAATCCTCTTTCTTCCTTCTAATTTTAACAGACGGCAAGGGAGAAAAGCACAAGCAACTATAACTCAAGACATACACGCAATGGCCACACCTACACCTGCCTAGGAAACACACAGAGACAACATGACGCAGGAAAAGGCGGACGCTACATCTGATCCGCGTCAAGGACGGCGAGAAGACCCGTCAGCGAGCGATGAAGCTCGCGCACCACCACAGTGGTTGCGCCGATCAGGTCGACTGCAGTCGCTGCACGCATCACCCGGCGCAGACCACGGAGCGCAGTCCCAAGCTGTCCAACGCCCGCAACTCCACCCCGCGCGGCCGCAGCCAACACGGGCACAAGGAGCTCGGAAAGCCGGTCAGCGGCATCTGAGCACTTGTCCAGAGGGCTGCCTACCAGAGGCACGCCACGAGAAAGAGCCGCGTGGCAATACACCTGGATCAGGTGAACAGCCCGCAGACCCTCGGAGAGGCGCCACATCAAAGCACCGAAGGATCTCATCCGCAGACGCCGGCGGAGCAACAGGTACGCTCGCGGCAGTACGTGCAAGAGGAAGCAGACGGGGAGCAAGATCACTCTCCGTGGCGCAGTCACGGCCCAGAGCACCAAGGAAGTCCATCGGCCACCGCTCAAGGCGCACCACTGGCACAGGACGAGCCGATAACGCCGATCTCCCACGCGCGACAGGCGGCACCGGTGGCAGCCACTCCTCGGAGCGGACAAGGAAGCACGCAGGGAGAGATCGCCATGAGCTGGGACTCTACTATCTTAACCTCGACCACTCACCTACTTATCGTCCACCGCCTCCCGCCGCAGATCCTAAACGATTACTCCACCTGTATGCTGGACCTGGACGCCCTCCTACGGATCTCTAAGCTGCCAAATTGCGCGGGAGCGTGGCGGGTCCTCATGTTCCTTCCACGTCTCACCTTACGACTTAGTAGGAGGTCCAGCTCTAGGTGGAAGGTGCAGCGAGCACAGATGCACCTATTCAGATGTGCCCACTAGAACCAGCTCTACAGTGACTACGTGGGGTCCCTGCACCAAGCTGAGCCACCTCAGCACCAAAATTACCCCCTGGGAATCTGCTCACGTGTGGAAGGGCTGGTGAAACAGGTTAACTTGCGAAAGGCGTTGGCAGCCCTTCAACCCTTGCCAGCAGCTCCGGCGACAATAGCGACACTGCAGCAGTTGGAATTGAAACACACCCAACCCCAAATTGACCTGCCCGACTGGGTCCACACCTACACAACACCCACGCAATTTTTGTGCACCGCGGAAAGTTTCTCAAACGTCCTCGGGGATTGCCCCAGCGGAGTTGGGGCTGGTCGGTCAGGGTCAACATTCGAACACTACCGCGACCTAGCTTTAAGTAACATCGAGGTACTGGGGCACCTACACTCGGCCGTAACACACCTTCTCTCGACAAATCTCTCCACCGAAGTTGCAGCACTACTCTCACCATCCCGCCTCATCGCCTTCGCGAAACCAGGGGGGGGGGATACGCCTTATCACGATAGGGGAATCCCTGCTTCGAGTGGCAGCAAAGGTGGCACTCTCAGAACTGCAAGGAGAAACAAGGCGTTTTTTCCTACCTCAACAATTCGGCGTGGCAGTCCCAGGCGGGGCTGAGTTTGTCATCCACGCTGTCAGAGACCTCACCACCTCTCAATCATCCAACCTCATCCTCCAACTCGACATTGAAAACGCTTTCAAATCCGTATATAAGAGCGCGTTCTTCAACGCACTCACCAACACCACGCTAGCCCTATTCATCCCATTCGCACGCTCCTTCTACACGACGCCCTTCACAGCTGCTGACCAATCCCCGCCTGAGGACAACGGCACTCACCAGCGGAAGGGGAGTTAGGCAGGGGGATCCCCTCGGACCCTTGCTTTTCGCGGCGTCAATGCAGCACCTCAGACGCGTAGCGGCAGAGCACCCAGAAGTCACGGTCCTAGCCTATGCAGACGGTATTACCATGATAGGGCCGGCGACGGCGACGCTAGGCGAGCTAAGGGTGCTGACGCCGCTGCTAGCTCAGGATAGACTCACCGGCAACCTTGGGAAGTCGTCGGCGTGGTCCTCCACGCGGCTCGAAGGTGAGGAGCTCCCCGAGGGCCTTCCCCTGTGTTGGGAAGCCCTGTGGGGTCACAGAGCTTCTGCTCTGACCTCGTCCGCAGTACCCTGACAGACGCAGCGGCACCCCTGGGCTCCTTAACGTCCATCCACCCGCAACATACCCTCCTGCTATTGTCTCGCTGCGTCAGCCGCAGAATCGGCTACTTGCTGCGCACCACCCTAGCAGACGTCTTACCTCTCTCGGAATGGCACGCATGGTGCTCTGAACTGCTCAACACCGCCTTGACTGCCGCCAGCATTCAACCACCCCATCGTGAAGCTGAGTTCAATTTCCTTCTCCGTCAAGCAACCCTCCCAGTTGCCCTAGGCGGACTGGGCCTCACGGACCCCACAACAGAAGCAGCACCAGCCTATCTGGCTTCGACAACAGAGGCGCTACGCCTGCTCCGCTCCCTTGACCTCCCAGCAACCGCGGTGCTAGGGGGCAACAACAACGCCCTGCAGCCGTCTGCAGCGCACTCGGTCACCATCCAAGACATGGAGGGAGGACTGCCACCGCTAGCGCTGCAAAACCTTCGCGAGGAGCAGGACACCCCGTCGCAAGACCAGCTGCAGCGGGCCCTCTCTCAGGAAGTGCGCACGGCAAAGGCCGACGCCCTGACAAAAGAGTCACGCACAATTTGGTCAGCCCCCGAGATGGGCCACACGCTCCGCCTTGTCAGCCTGAGAGGCGAGGGAGCGGGAGCGTGGCTACAGGCCTTACCCCAAAGGGGCTAGCTAAGGTAAGTCCCTCGTAAGTCCCACGCATAACACCGGAGGGGCTAGGCTAAGGTAAGTCCCCCGTAATGGGGAAGAAGAAGCCGGGAACCAAGGAGGTCTCAGGGGCAACGTCTACATCCGCTCCACCTGCCGCCCGAGCCACCGGAGCACACACGCGAGGGCAGGGACGATACCCAGCGGGGACTCCTCAACAACCGTGGCTACCATGCGGAAAGCCGCAGCGCCTGGACCGTCGTCCAGCAAAGGGTCCTCCGGCTCAAGCGGCAGATGAAATACATCCCACAGCGCGCTAGCCTCTCCGCCTTCGGCTGAGCGCTCCTGGTGGCAAGACAACAAACGAAGGATCTGCTTATCAAGGAGCACACACACGCAATTCAAGCAAGGGAGCGGGGCAACAAGAAGAGGGGAGGCATGCAGTACTACACGCGGCGGAAGCCTACATCGTGTACGGCTCCGCCCCCTCCACCTCTAGCATCGAGCGCATGCACGTCGACACCGCAAGAAGCTGCGCCGACGACTAAAGCGTGTGCACCGGGGCCCCGCCATGGGCAGCCTCAACAAGATCTTCCACGTGGCGGGGGAAGGTACGCGCTAAGAGCGCTACCCCGGCGGGCGCTTTCGACACGGGCGCCAAGATCGGGCCGAGAGCTTCTGCCCAAGACAAACGATCCTCGAGGAGCTGGAGCGAAACTGTTCGGAGAGTTTCGCATGGCCCCACACACCGCCATCTGCAGGCTCGCCACCACCTCGCATGCCTCTGCAAGATTCAGCATCCGGCACATGGTCAGCATGGGGTCTCTCCCCGCACGAGTGGGGAGAGGTACAATCGGAGCTGCGCGTGGAAACGCCGTCACCCGGCCCGGGGCTTGGCCAACCGAGAATGGCTGCACGGAGAAGCCAAGAACCTGTCGAGGGGTGCAGAACTACGCCCTCCCCTCCCGCGCGGGCAGATATTCGCTCAATGTCGGAGCGCGTAGTGGTTCCGCAAGGTCAGGGGCAGGGGCGTGGGGAGGCCCATTGGTTACAGCAATGTGAACGTGCGTCCGCTCCCCACTCGCCTGCGCCTGGCGCACCGCTGCCACCACGTTCACAGCCTGACCGACTGCAGCATCTTGCCCGCGACCGCTTGCGCCACGGCCCGCACCATTCCACCGACCCCGACGGCCACTAGACCCTGCCGAGTGCGGTCGCGGTGGGGACTGCTCGCGGCGCACAGAATCCCAACGGCGCCCAGGCGACCCCCTCCCCCTCCCCCACCTCGCCGGAGATCGCCGCGGAGAGCGCTGATCGGGGGATCGCGCTCGCGGTGAGCGCTGGGCTCCCCGACCTCAGGGGGATTGGCGAGGAGGAGAGCGAGGACCCGCTGGAGACAGCTGATCACCAGCCCCATGGCGGCGATCTTCGCGACCCTCTGGGGAGCGACGGCGAGGTGATGGCTGCCGCGGTGGCTGACGCAGTGGCGAACGCCCATGCTCCTGACGAGGCTGACCTGCAGGGCGATTCGACGCAATGCGCGCAGGTGCCCACGAATACTCCGGCAAGAAGGGCCGAGGGACATCTCGAAGAGTAAGAGACAGCCCACGCTCGAAGCGGCGGACGGGCTCACTTGCGGAGGGGCGTGCGGAGGGACGTGGACGAGGCGCGGCAGGCTCCCGCTCCGGCTGCGCGCTCTCCGCCGTACCCTCCTGTGCTGGATCACGAGCCGCGGTGGGATCCATCACCCCCGATACTACAGCTGCCGAAGCCAGCGCGCCATCAAAGAGAAGCTGACGTCGCCGACGCACCTCAAACAAGGGGGACGGGGGCGACCGCAGGAAGAGGGACGCGGGGAATCCGCGTGGGACGCGACAGCGGCCGCCGCGGACGTCGTGGGAATAGGCGAGGCCGACGAGGAGGCAGAGCAGGACGGACTGGGGCGAGCGGCTATGCTCGAACTGCTGAGAGACTATTCCAGGAGGGCGTGGAAGGCGGGGAGGAGGCAGCAGACGCCGAAGGAAACTTGGAAGGAGAGAATGAGGAAAGTGAAGCGGGTGACCCTGCCTTTAACCCTGAAAAGGGAGGGGAGTTTGGAGCCTGGTTCCGACGAGGACGAAGAGCTCCTACAGCATGGAGCGGAATTTCCCAACCAGCGGGATGAAGCCGCGCAAGCAAACCAAGGCACTGCACGGAATGGAGCCGCAGGGGGAACCAACATTGGGAGGAGAAATCGAGCCGCAGGTGGAATTGGTACGAGGGGGGGAAACCGAGCCGCGACAGGGGACGGAGTCAACTCTGCAACAACCAATGGAATTCCTGCAGGGCAAAATCCCCCCCTGCCAATGTTAAAACCTGGCGACCTAGCGAAATGTACTGACCTCTTCGCCCTGGTCGCCAACTGGGACCTTAACCCCCTACGCGACAGTTGCCAACCAACCCTCGCTCGCCACCCACCAAAGGACCATCGCGCAGTCTGCCTGTTGACCCCAATACTCCACCTCGCAGCCAATCCGGAGTCCGCATCAGCTTGGAAGCTGCTGACATTTCTCCCGCGAATTCTACCGCGCACCTCGTCATCGCGGAAACCAGATTGGAAGGCGATGATGTGTCGCCTCGTCAGATTTCGCCAAGGGCTTTGGGCCGGCCTGTACGAAGAAGCAGTCCAAGCAATCTCCCTCCCTCCCCATCCTCGCCACGCACCTGACACAACAGGGATACTCGCTAGAGCAGAAGGACTGGCGAAGCGTGGGAATCTGTCGAAATCCCTCCAGTCCCTCCAAGCCACGCCTGTTTCACCTGCGTCACCTGAAGTGCTGGAGGCACTCACGACAAGGCACCCACCTGCCCAGCAGAATTTACCTGAGTGGTCGCACGCCTTCACCACCGAAAACCCTCCCGCTATAGAGCCCCGCGATTTCAGACGGCTTATCGGGAAACTCCCTAACGGAGTTGGTGCGGGCCCATCAGGCACCACCGTTGAGCACATCAGGGACGCGGCACTAGGGAACCAGGAAGTTATCACTCACATGTTAGCCCTCACTAACACGGCGCTAGCAGGGAAACTAAGCAACGTCGCAGCAGAGCTCCTCATAGCCTCTCGCCTCCTAGCCTTCACGAAACCCCGATTGCAGTGGGAGAGTGCCTGCTCCGCATCATTGCTAAAGCGGCCCTTTTCCTGACAGCTCCAGCCGCTCGAGGACACTTCGCCCCCTTGCAGTTCGGAGTGGCAATAGCGGGGGGAATCGAAGCAGCAATCCATACGGCACGTACTTACTTGGAAGTCCACCCGGAAGCAGTGGCGCTACAGATCGATAGGCATGATCATCCTGCCCCGGCGGGTCGGGTCGACCCGACCCGACCCGGGTTTTGACCTGGGTCGGGTCAGGCATTTTGAAGCGCTGACCCGGCCGGGTCGGGTCGGGTTTACCCGGTCGGGTCGGGTCGACCCGACACCCGAAACCGGGTCGGGTCGGGTCGGGTCAGATTTAGACCAGAAGTCGTACCCGACCCGGTTTCGGGTACCGCGCCCTAAGTCGGGTCGAGTATTTGGCCCAACCCGACTTTTCCTCCCTCGACAAGTTGCACTAAAGCAGATCGCGAAGTCAATGTCTAGGGTTTGTTTGTTCCCTCGACATTGACATTCCCTCGACAAGTTGCACTAAAGCAGATCGCGAAGTCAATGTCTAAACCCTAGACCGGAGCTGCTGTAGTAATCCATTACCTAACTGTTGCTGTAGTAGGTCATCGTCAAAGTGAAGAGGAAGAAATCGAACGCAAAGATTATTGAAGGGAAAAGCGGCCTGACATTGAGTGAGTCTGGTAGAAGTTGGCAACAAATTGGATGGGGTGAAGGTGGGTTGTGAGCGGTGGATAAGAGGGAACGCGTGAACTCAGATCTGAATTTCGAGACTCAAATTTGAGTTCGCCAGATCGCGAACTCATCTGATTTTTTTTTCCGGTCAGCCCGAGCCAAATTGGGCAAATTTAAGAAAAATCCGCAGCGTACGAATTCTAGATGCGTATAAACTCAATACGCAACTTGAAACTAGCGTTTTTTCCAACTTAGGAACCTCTTACCCTGCATATGGGGTCCTGGCCCGACCCGACCCGACCCGGCCCCTACCCGACCCGACCCGGGGGCGGGTCACGCCTGACCCGGCACCCGATACCCGGGTCGGGCCAGGATTTTTTGAAGTTCCGACCCGACCCGACCCGACCCGGAACCCGGCTGGCCCGCCCAAGTCGGGTCGGGTCGGGTCGGGCCTAATGATCATGCCTACAGATCGACCTCGCGAACGCATTCAACGCGGTGGAACGGAGAGCAGTGTTCGAGGGTCTAAGGAACGAGGCTCTGGAGAACCTCATCCCTCTGGTCCGCCTCTCGTACGGCACCCCTTCATCGCTATTCCTCGACCACGACTTTGGCGCAGCTCCGCTACAGAGCGCCAGAGGAGTGCGCCAGAGGAGTGCGCCAAGGGGACCCGCTCGGACCGCTCCTGTTCGCGGCAAGCGTCCACCCTTGCCTCACGGACACAGCAGCGGCACACCCGCAAGTGGTCCTGCTCGCCTACGCCGATGACATCACCCTCCTCGGCGAAGCCTCTGCCTGCACCGCGGCCTTCAACCACCTCACGTCCACGTAGGCTACCCTTGGTCTGGTTCACAACCCTTCCAAGTGCGCGGTCTGGTCAGCCTCAGCGGTTGACCCTTCCTCCGCACCCCCAGGCATTACTATCTCGGATGAAGGGCTGCAGGTGCTTGGCAGCCCCATCGGCACTCCCCAGGGCTGCCCAAGCGCGGTGAGAGAAAGGCTGGAAGCAGCAGCGGAACCATTGCCCCCTCCTAGCCCAAATGGACCCCCAACTCAGCCTCCTCCTCCTTACTCGCTGCGTCAGCCGCCGCGCCTCCTTCCTGGCGAGGACAACCCCACTGGAGGTGCTCCCTGACACTGAATGGTCGGCGTGGGGGGAGCAATTATTACTTACCTTTTCGAACTCAGCCCACATCATGGCCCTGAGGAGCAACAGAGAGAGACGGCGGATCTAGCGGCAGGCGGCGCTGCCTATAAATCTGGGTGGGCTTGGCATCACCGACCCTGCTGTTGAAGGGAGCTACGCGTACCTCGCGTCTGTGATTAGCACGGTCCACCTCCTGAACTCCCTGACTGATTCGCTGCACCCAGCAGTGGCCGAGCTCCTCCCCCTCCTGGACTCTGCCCACGGCTCCACCCATGCCCTGCCAGCACGCCTCGCAGCTGCTGAAGCGGCACTCCCCCCCGAGGCACTCGAGGCCCTCCAAGCAGGGAGAGCAGAGCCCAAGGGCTTGAAGCTACATCAGTCCCTGGCGCTGGCGGTTCACACGCGCCGCTTCCTGCGGGTTATGAACGAGGCGAGGCGGATGCGCCCCAACCCCCTCTCTGGCCATGCGCAGCGAATGCAATCAGTGCTAGGCCCGGGAGCTGGGGACTGGCTGCTGGCGATACCCCTCATCCCCTCGCTCCGGATGGGCCCCTCGCAACTCTCTACTGCAGCCGCCTTCCGCCTAGGCCTCCCCCTCCCCGTGCCTAGGCGCTGCAACTGCCAGTACCGCACCACGTTCCCTGATGACCGCCTCCCCAACCACCTCCTGCGCTGCAAGAAGGGGGAGGGGAGGACAACTACACACCATGCCCTTAGAGATGAGATTGCAAACATCGGGGCGGAGGCGGGCTTCACAGTGCACAAGGAGACGTACATCTACTCTCTCGTTGAAAACCTAAAGGCGGATGTCACCATCCGCCATCCCCTGACAGGAGAGGTGTGGTTGTGCGATGTGACTGACTGATCCCGTGTCCTACCAGGACGAAGAGTGCAGTCGGGCTCCAGGGTGGGCGGCAAGTAGACATGAGCAACTGACCGAGGCGAGTAAAACTCGACTCGGTCTGGCTCGAGCCCCGACCGAGTTCGAGCTCGAGTCGGGGGAAACTCGACCGAGTTTTTTTCTCATGATTCTGGACTCGAGGCTCGGCAAAATAGGGCTCGAGTGTTGAAAAACTCGACGGGCTTTTCTCTTACACTCGGTCGAGCCGAGTAAAACTCGGCTCGGTGCGGGGGGGGGGGGGGGGGGGGGGGGGGGGGGGGGGCGCGGGCGGGGGCGGGCGGGGGCTGTGGAAACACCAAACTTTTCTTACAAGGGTTCTTACTCACCCCTTGCTTAAATTTCGCCATCATCAATAAACCATATCTACCGTTCAATAGTGCGATTCCGCCTCAGGAAACCCTAATCAGAAAAATGCACATGAGAAAAATGCGACAATACAAACTATAAACTGAGATCTACGATTTCCTAAACCTAACTTAGGTTTAAGATGAAAAACCAGCCATGAGTTTGGCAGTCCAGGCTCAGGTTTCCACTTATGAAGGGCTTAGGAAGAGGACTAACTGAAATTGCGGTCTAAAAAGAGCCCCGTCAAAGTGAAATTCTTACAATTTGTCCTTGCTGCCAATGCCGCGACCG